TGTACAATAAAGGGGTTGCTGTACTGAAATGAAAGCTATTATAACCGCAGTAATATTTCAGTGCAATAACTGAGGTGAAGCTTAGTACAGGTTTGTGGCATCATTTCTTGGACAAGGAGGTCTTTTTCCAAGAACTGTTTTATATGGGTTGGCATCTGATTCTCACGAGTTTCAGATGAAGGTACAATTCAGTGTGCCATCCCAAATTTTATCAAATCTAAGTTTTGCCTCAAGTAGAACGGTCCTTTCTGAATACGGACTTAGACTGAGTTGATCCCTTCACTAAAAAACGAAACACTATTTCTTTGCATAAACCACTTCTCTAAATGTAAAATTATCTTCAAAGAAGCAGGGTGGCCCTGTGTTCAATATACATCGACCTGGAAGGTGAGGAGGAACTTGAGCTATTTCTTTAGCAGTAACGTAGACCCTTGTTTTATCTGAAGCCACATCTTTGAAAAGCAGATATTCATAGGTATTTCAATGCCTAATTCAAAATGATTTTTCTGAGCATTGGAAGATTAATTGCAAATCTGGCTCCTGAAACTTTTTAACTCAGTTTCTTGTCTGCAAGGTGAGAGTAGGAATATTAAGGTATTGTGAAGACTTGGGTACTGAAAATTAAGACCTGGAGATAGGAGTCATGGAGGTAGCTTGAGCAGAGGTTTCCAGGAGTCATTTGCCATTTTGTAATGATGCAGTATGAACTGTGGGGACACAGCTTTAATTTAAAATTACGACACAGAAAAAGGGGAGAAACTTCAATTATTTGTCTTTTTTTGCCAGGTCTCCGATGAAAAACTCACAGGTCTGAATCCAACTGTTGCTAGTCGTGTAGTTTATGATGGAGGTGTGTTTATTGGGCCAATATTCGGAGACATGCTTGCTACCTTCAATAACAGAACCCAGGTGGGTTAATGTGCTGCCACACTTCTGTTCGGTTCACCCAAGTCCCTAAATCCAGGAATCTCTGAGGTGTTGAGGCACCTTGTTCTGCTTCTATTCTAAACCCTTTCAAAAATCTACTGTTCTGTGCTTTGTCATTAACTGGTCAGATTTTACTTCCTGGTTTGTGCAGCAGCGCTTCACTACAAGAGCTATTGCAACTGGGGAGAATGACCGTCTTGGGCAAAGGAAGACGATTTATTCCTTTCGAGGCAGTGGCCAAGAGCTAACGTTGTCTCTGAACTCCCACCCTTACTGGGCCCTAAACTTGGGAATGACCCTCCACCCATCTGCAGGTTCCAGAAGTTATGCTGCTGGCAAAATAAATGACCTTGTGGCTATGGTACTAGTTTAGGAAGGTCGCTGACCCTCCATGGACCTCAATCCTTTATCTGTGAAAATGGACCAAGAAGGGCTTCCCACCTGAATGACTCTGCTGGGAGGACAAAGGCATTCCAAATTCTGCTTTTGGAGCTTGTATGAGTGGTATGCATTGCTGGGCTTTGTCTCCAGCACATACTGCGGGTCCCTGCAGCAATAACTGGTTAATGCAGGACGTGCTAGAAGCCCAGCTGTGCAGCAGCAGGGGCTAGTTCATCCTGCTTTTTGGCTGACTCTGTTCCCTAGACATGGGGACTGCCCTGCTTCTGGTGCCTGGGTCACCTGTGGTACCTCTGCAGTCTGTGGGGCAGACATACCCTCAAACAGATTAGGTGAAAAAAGGACAGCAGCTGCAGTCAGATCTCATTTTTGAAGCTTTGTTCTGGCTTGCTGCAAGCAAAAATTATAAAAACGCCCCTCTAACCACTCTGTTTCTACTAAGCAGAGCGTTTTGCAACTGTGAGTGCTCCCTGGCTTTCCTAGAGACAGTCTACTTTTATTTGCAGGTGCTGGTGTAGTCTCTCAGCATGATCTTCCTCAATACCTGGGGAAGAGAGGAAGATGGTCTTCTGCGTTGACAGCTGACTCTTCTCTGAAGGGAGCTGATGTTAGACCTCAAGGTTACAACTCAGCTTTCCTGGTTTAGCACAAACAATGAAGCAAAAAAAAATCTCGAAGGTTACATGCTGAATGGATGCAATCTGGGATGTGTTCTTATACGGTGCTTTAAGGCATAGCAAAGTTGTTCCTAAGTCAGGGCAGAAGGAACTGAGGTTTGGCAAGTAGTGTCTTCAATGGACAACTAGAGCAACAAGTTAGGAGGATCTGTATGTCCCAGTGAGATGAGAGTTAGGATTGTGCAAACACCCAGGAAAGCTGCAGATACAGCTTTCAAAGCTATGCTCTGCTTTGTCTCAGATGAGCCCTAGCAAGCCGCACAATTAAATTTGTAATCAGACTGCAGCAGAATAAATTGCTGTCTGTGGTGATGCAGTAGCTGAGGCAGTGTGACTACCCGCATCATTGGGCTGTCTGCTGTGTATCGTAAGCCCTAGAAACCACCTCAGTTCCCATCTCTGCTTTAGGGTAACCTTCTTCTCCATCTCCAGGTGGTGGTGGCGGTAAACGATGTCCTCGCAAACTGTTCTGGTTCATGTTTTTTTCACTTCTGCCACGAAATGACACCCTTAGTCAATGATGTGGAGTACGTGTCAGGTAATGGGCTCTGTGCATGAATAAAGTGGCAAAAACTATTCTGTTAAAAAATGGTTTGATGATGATTTTGTTTATTTATATATATGTGTGTGTGTATTCTTTTAGAACATTTTGGTTTTATGGAAACTGCGTTTTCTAATGGGCTACTCCTGATTAGCTTGAGTCTTAAACTATGCAGTATAAATACGGTATTATGGAGACAAGAAGATGGTAGAGGCATAAAGGGGAGAGAAATAGTGTTAGCATGGTGCTGTACAGAACAAGATGACTCTTGGTTAAAGTTATTTTTAATAAAAATTTAAGGAAAAAAATAATAGCTGAACAGAGGCAGGAACATGGGGGATAATGAGAGATTCAATGCTGTGGTTTACATGGTGTCCTGATAAGGATATTAAAAACTTTGACTGCTGTTTGAAAGTAAATCTAGTTATTGCTACACCAAAATTCGTTAGTCATCTTACTGTTTATATTCTTTCAGATGATGGGTCCCAGGCTACAGTAGTTATCAGAGGAACTGGCTTCACTGAGGAGAAGCCAGCAATACAGGTAAAGGTGAACAACTCAACCTGCAGTGTCATAACCTTGAATGAAACGGAAGTGGTTTGCCAAATGGAGATGCTGCCGGTTGGAGTCTATCAGATGACATTACTGGTGAGACCTTACGGCTTCGCACTCAACGCCAGCACAGGAGAGAGCATCTTCCTAAGAGCTGAGCCCAAGCTGGTGGCTGTTGAACCTCCAGCAGCTTCAGAGATTGGTAGGTCTGAATGCTGGACTGACTCTAAGTGGGTGTCTTTTTTTTTCTGTCTTGCTTTTCATAGCATGTTTCAATTCTTCTGTACTTCTACTACTAAGGTCTTCACCTGAGAAAAGGTGTCTTGGCACTTTGTTTGTACCCCCAAGGTAAGGGCAAGTTTCTTATAGAATGGTAGACTTCTCTCGGTTCTTTGTGGGGGCAGTAAGATCTTCCCTTGTTAGCTTTGTTTGGGAATAGTCAGTTCAGATATTCATTCCCTTATATTCATATACATACTCATTCCAGCAACTCAAAAGGGTATTAGAGTTTCACGGCCAATCTTCCCATGTTCATTTTACATGCAGCTTTGTAGAATTTGGATTTTTCTGGCCTAATTGCAAAATGGCTAAATTTTGGTTTATCTTGATCTCATTTTAAGTGCATTTGTATTCTGAGTGACAAAATGGGAATCTTGTCTATGATTAGATATAAAACAGAAATTTAGAAAAGCTCAAAGTAAACTGAAGTTCCTTCCATTTCCCATTACCCCTCCTCTCTTTGAAATACGAGGGGAAAAAAGGGGTGATACATTCCATTCCTGAAGACAGTAGCGCAGAAGCCTTTTCACAAGGCTATGGGACCAGAAGGGATCAGTATGGCAGATGAGGCAGTCATGTACATAGCACAGATGAGAGGACTTTATCTGGAAGTTTCTACCAGGTGCCCACTCAACTGTAGCTAAGTAGAATGTAAAAAGTCACCCTTCCTTTTTCGGAAGAGGGAAGGAGATTCCTCCACCTTCATCAATAAGCTGGGAACCTCTGGGTACACCTGAGTGGTGCACTCAGGACCAACCCTCTGGTGTATGACTTATTTTAAAGCAGATAAGAATGCACTTAAAATGATCCACTCCTAATCTGCCAGTAAAAGTTATCCAGTTTTTGTCTGGAAGCCTCCTGGTATCAACAGCAAGATGTTTTGAGTCCGTGCTAGCAAGCATCTCTGAGAACAGGAGTACTGGCCTTAGTGCAGCACCAGGCTAACACAGCCATGTGGCTTGGAGAGCCAAACAGGGTCATGTTTGATTAGCTTGGAGTGGGCAGAGGAAAGAAATAATGGTCTGTGAACCTCTATATGGATGAGTCCTGGGATGGACTTGAAAGAATTTGTGGAGTTCCTTTGTGGAAATTAGAAGTTAGTCAACCCTTTTCTTTATGAGTTGTTGGGGTGTGTGGGAGACAACGGATCCTAACCCTTTTCTTTTTTATTTTTCTAATGGGAGAGTCACACACTACATAAGGTTGAGATTCACTGCTCCAATTCATGAAAACCCTAAAAGACAAAAAAACAACAACAGCAACAACAAATTTTAGTGTTTGGGCCTTGTTTTTCCATTTTCTTCCCTGACAATCCAGCTCTTCTCCCAATTACAGTGATATGTCACTCATTAAAGAGAAAGCAAGTATAATACCATCTTACTTTACATATGCCTTGAACATTTATAATTGGAAAGAATTACAGCTTCCATCTGTGTTTTTAATTTCTTCCATTTAAAATACCTCTCTTCAATCCTGTCGTAAAGTGTGCATATGCAGTATTTTATCGCATATGGATAAAAGTGTAGATATCCAAACTTTAAGATCATTAGTCTTTACACAAGATGCATGGATTTTGTACTCTGGATCTGGGGCTCCTTATCAAACAACTATCACAAAAGTGGCTTCGGTTCTGAATTTTTACTGTTACTGGCTCTGAATACTTATCCTTACAGGGGAGGAGACTAGGAAGCATCTTGTACTTCACTGCATCAGGTCCTTGTCGTCAAAATACCACCGGTCTCGGTGGTGCCCATCAGGAGTTTCCCATGACATAGCTTCCTATAAGCATGGAAAGTCTTTGTGATGGTGCTTCCCGCTCCAGCAGATGGAAGGAGATTTCTGTGAACATTTTTAGATGCTATTGTTTGTCTGGTTTTGGTGCAAGCCAAAGGACATCTAGAAGAATAAACTTCTAGACGTGACTTCTCTGGTTTAGAGAATGAGCAGCAAAAGGTATTTTGAGAAAAGGTACAAGGAGCCATGCTATCAGGGTATAATGAGTTTCCCGTAGAGGTTTTTTCCTTATTTACACTGTATGGCATAGAATTTATACAGATTCTAGAGTTCCTTTTATATTTCATGAAACTAAGGACATAATAAGTACATGCTGGTATTGTACGGATAAGTCTAAGCATTTATTTGGGTTCCGCTGTGCTTTTACTTTGCTTTTATTTGCCAGAGGTGTATATTTGAAAGAAGATTTGTGTTGCATTGAAAAGTATCTAAGGAGAGAGCATCTAAGGGGGAAGCTTTGTAGAAGAAGGGAAGAATAGGATTTTGCTTTGCCAATATAGCATCTTAGCACATGCTAGGGCCCTTAGGAGTGTTTATTTTGATTAACAAAATGCTGGCTTAGGTGCTGGGACAACGGGCTGTTAGAGATTATCCTGTTTTCTTGCTCAGATTGTTGCTAGATCCATTAGTTTCTACCCTGCTTATTTACTTTTTCATTACTTATTTGTTCATGGGACTACCTAAAGGCCACGTGTCACCCCTTGTGCTGAGTGCAATACAGACACCAAAGAGTTAATACTCTCTAGGAATTAGATGATTGAAAAAGTCAGTTTTGTGTTTTGCAGGCAAGTGATTTGCACCCAGAGGGGTTAAGAGTATTCTACGTTTGTTTCTGATTTCATTGGCTGATTCCTGAATTGACTCTGGCCATACCTTCGAGTCTGCCACGGGAATTCTGGGTCCTGCAAGTCCCATCTGTCTTTGACACTGTTGTCTCCCAGATCTAGGCCCTTCTAACGCCTGGGCTTAGAGGTGTACACCTCCCCCATTGCCATAGGCCCCATTGCCATAGGGGCACTGGGCACCTATAGAGGTGACAGGGCCAAGCAGATGGTCCCTGAACCCATGTATATTGCAGTAACTGCGTGTTTGAATATATTCAGATGTAACAGCTTAAACCCAACTCTGAATGTTCCCCTGGGGATGAACCCTGTAAATGGCCCTCTTTACATTCCCCTATCTTGTATTTAAGTGAGTCTCTCAGGAACTGCAAAGGGATTGTAGGAGCGGAGTCCCATCTTCCTGAATCCAAATCCTGCACCCTTTACGCCAAGAGCAGCGCTTCTGCTTATAAAGGATCTTAAATTCTACACATGAAAAGCATGATAAAAGCTCAGTTGTGCTGTAATGGAGTGATGATGGCACATACACACTGAAGAAATGAAATCCCTGCCTGAGCATGCCTGTCTGTCCAACCACAGTCCTAAAGCGCGGCAGCACTATGGTGCTGCCTTGGCCTTCCAACTAGAGCAGAGAGCTGTAGGTTTTCAGGGAGGATTTTTTTTTTTTTTTGGATGCTTATCAATTTCTCTCTGAATCATGTTAAAGAGCTTCAAACTGCTGTCAATGCCCGTTTCTTTTCTCTTTTCTATTTCTCTTTGAAAGGCCAGTGAATCCTCTGGTCATTTGAAAAAGCAGAGAGGGCATCTGGGCTATTCAGACTGGAATTGTGTGCTGCAGAAAGACCAAAGGCAAATCAGTCTGCCTTGGGTTGGGCGTGATCCTGAGTGTGACTGCAGACACTCAGCTCTGGCTGGCATCAATGAGAGCTGAGGTTGCTCACTCCTTCAGAGAGTCCAGCCCTCTGTGACTTTCTTCCTCGCAACTTAGCTAAGTCTCCAGCCCTGCCAAGTCCCCTTTCTAACCTAAGCTTCCCAGACACATGCTACAGGGCTTTTAACAGCAGGGTGCATGGCAGCTATTTGAACTGTGAAAGCACCTGCTGTGTTAAGCTCATTTTCCATTCTTACTGCTTCTTCCTCTTTCCTTATTTTATTTGTGGGCTGGGGATCTTTCTAAGGGTGAGATCACAGACCAAACCTTGCAATCTTAAATAAGGACATCATTAAAAAATACACTAAAAAAAATAAACACTGTTCTCCTGTGTGATGGGCAAGAATTCAAATAACAGAAAATATCTCCAGTGAGAGAGAGGAAACAGGGGCACAGCAAAGTGGAAGCAGATCATTATCGCTGTTAATAAACTAATGTCATCTTAGCACATCTGTATTTTAACCAGTAGACAGTACTCCCTTTTGTAATTGCCCATTAATAAAGGATGCTTTGCATATTAAAATATCTTTCCACGTCTTGAGTGTAAAGGAATAACTGGTTTTGTAGGAGGACTGAGAGTCGCTCTCAGAGGAACTGGTCTGGAAGGGATAAACCTGGTGTTGTTCGGATCTCAGCCTTGCCCAATTTCTGAGAATGCCAGAAATTCAACAAGAATTGAATGTAAAGTTCCCTCTCGGGTAAGAAACCACATATTTGGGGGTACAGTCAGCTGTATGCTGAGAGTCTGTAGACTTTTTTATGTTGTGCTAACCTGACCTACACTGCGGGGGAAGGACAAATGATGGCCCATCAGCCAGAACTGGGCTGCCTTGTTTCACCTGGGCTCCACCTACAATTTAGACCAGCTTAACTAGCAACAGATTGATTTATGAAAGCTAGTGTAACTGCAATAATCAAATTGCATAATGATTAGCTGAGCCTCAAACAAACCAAACCTGGGCCTTTAAAATTTCATCTCTGTACTTTCTACTCAGCATCTACCAGTACATACCTGGTAGAATTGCTCTTATTCATATTACTGAACCTTCTTCAGCTCCAAATCCTCCTGTTTACATCCAGTCTTTCTACTGGGAGTTACCTGTGTCTCATGCAAACTCTTGAACCATGTCTAGGAATTGTTAGCAGTGTTAATCGACACAGGTCAAAATTAAACCCAGGATCATGCTGATAGTTTAAGAGTAGATAAAAATGTTGATGCCTGTTCCCTATGACTCTTTATCGTTTGCTAGTTCCCTATTAATAAAGTAATCCTCAGTGTCTGATTATTTTAAAATTTATAATTCTTCACAGATATCCTTTAAAAGACAACATAGCTATATTCATTTGAATAGAGTCTAGTGTTTGCATGCACAAATTGGTCAGTGCCATGTAATGCCCCATCTTTTTTCTCTGATTAAACAAACAAACCAACCAAAAATCCTCCAGGTAGGAAATTAGGGCTTTTAATTGCCATATTAAGTACGGAGACATACGTATATAGGGAATGATTTAATTTTTATTAGTGCACTCTTATCCCTGACTTTTTCTTCGTTTCTTTTTCCAGGGGACAGAAGATGCTGTTGTCCCTGTGACGCTAATTTCTGGGCACTTGTCAACAACAGTCACCAACTTATTCCAGTATGATCCTTCTTTAAACCCTGTGGTGGTATCACTGAGCAGAAACAGCAGTGGCATAGCAGGTGAAGAGGCTGCAGTCTCCTTAAATGCAAATGGATGTGGTTGGACATCATCTGTAGAAGTGTTGTTGCTATCGCTGAGAACGGTGGGGCAAAGGGTCTTGAAGTCTGTGGGGTCCAGTGATGCTATCAGAGGGGTGTTTTTTTTTTTTTTTTTTAACCTGTGGCCTCCCTGCTTCCTGTTGGTCCTGGTTAGCTCCGTTTGCTTTGCTTTTTTTTTTTTTTTTTCCTCTAGCATACATGAGATAGCGAGGTGCTGGCCCCAGACGCATATCCAAAGTTAGGATGTCAAGACTGGAATGCTGCTTCTCTGTCATGTCTCCTATTTCTCTAACTCTGCTTTTTGCTCTGAAGATTTATCACACCAGTTCTTGTTGGCACGTTCAGCAGTGAAAAGACAAACAAGCTTTTGAGAGTGTGCTTCCCCAGGATCCTAAGGGGCTGGCCAAATCAGAGTGCATTTTGGGCTACAGAAAAAAGAAGAGAGGCAGCACTTGTCTTTCTAGTTTCCATTTCTAGGAAAAATTATTTTTTTTAGTTTGATCTTGTGACCTATAACTTTAGAATATGAGCACAGACTTCACAGACTTTGTGGTGGCAACAGCCCAAGTAGACCTCATAGAGTGCTTGGCAGTCATCTTTTTTGAAAGTTTCTGTTTGGACCTTTTTTTCCCCCTTCATTTACTTTCTTCTTTTTTTTTTTTTCCCCCCAAGTGTTTTAGCTGAGCACGTTGAGCAGAAGCCAGCAATGGTGAATGGTGTCCACTTAAAGAGAAATATTTTAGGAAAAAAGTTTACTACATTTCTGGAAGACAAGAAGACCCAAGGTTCCTGATAGCAGGAAGCTTGTTTTAAGGAAGGGGAGGGGAGGGGAAAAAAAAAGTGTTAAGGCCCTAGCCATTGAAATCTTGTTCACTGAATATAGATTATTTAATGACTTTCAATTCTTCCTGCCCTATTTTTTTCTGATTATTTTTAGCCCTCTTTGTTCTCAATTTATTCCGTAGTCTGTTGCTTTACTAGTTTCCAAGCAGTATATCCAGGGTGGGAGTTTAAAATGAACCAAGCTGTTTATTGAATCTAAATACCTTCTTTCTCTTAGGACAAAAGCCATCACCAGCTCAGCTGTCACCTTTAGGGCTGGCTGAAACGGTCTTGGACCTGATGTCCTAGCCACAAAACTGAGATCTTTTTGCCCTCTTTCAGGAGGTTTTACAGACATGAAGCAGGTGAAGCCAAATGCAATTGGAAGGAGCGTGTAGATTAGCAAACTAAACACCGAGTTAGGAAATGAAGCCTCTACTCTAGTTTTGCTGCTGGCCTATGAGGTGATCAGAGTGGTTCCCTTATTTCTGCTATAACTTTTGTAGGTTGTAGGTCTCCTGCGTGGGAAGTCTATCCCACATGTTGAGGTAGCAGCTGAAGGGGCAAATGGGTTTCTCATCTCAGCAAGGCTGGGTATGTGGGATCCCGTGACATACAGATTGCTATCTTTTCTGCACGGTTCTCACTGAAGGTGATTTGCAATAATCTAGGGCAAATAGGTTACGCTTTGGGTGTAACCCTTTCCCTTCAGGTTGACTGAGATGAGCCTGTAGTCTGCACTCTAAGGAGGGCTAGATTTGGCTTGGGGACTGTCAGCCTCTTTGAGGTTGAACAGCCAAAACTGACTTCATGTGTTTTAGTCTCCTCTTGGCTCTCTAGAGAAAATGTTTTGGAAAGACAAACAGAAGCATAAGCTGGGAAGCAGACAGAAAGATTTCCTCTTTCCTCC